AAACAATTACCATGTAAATACAACTATCGATGTAAAGTAATTCAATCAATAAGCTAGTGTATTATTTTCCGTCAGATTCATTCACAAAAACATATGCCTCTTTGATGTGTTAGTATAAATTTGAGCATGGATACAGAAGGCTCGACTAGTTTGTGCCAACTTGCGTCATTTATGGCGTAGGCGAGATATCCGTCTATCAACCGAAGGATGGGTTTACTGCTCAGCTGTTCGTTCCGTCCTAATTGACGGCAGTGAAACATGGCCGTTAAGAGTAGAGGATATTCGTAGGTTACTAGTATTCGATCGTAGTTGTCTTCTGAGTATTGCTCGTATATCCTGGGACCGCCGAGTAAGTAATGCAGTTGTTAGGAAACGGGTACTAGGTAAGGATGGCAAATCAATTAATGAAGTAGTGAAACTTCATCAGTTCAGATGACTGTATCAAGTGTTACGTATGCCCAACCACCGACTGCCTTGAAGTTCGACGTTTTGTTGCGTAGGAGTAGGTTGGAGGAAAGCTAGTGACGGCCAGACCAAAACATGGCACTGACAAGTGGACTGAGCCATGTTGGTAGGTGTGGACTGTCTGGTTGGGATACGCGAGATGATAGCGACCGATGGTTAGAGACGTTGAATGTGACATAGCTCGAAATCATTTGCAATGGCGTTGGTGCATCCAGTCTTTGTGTTCTCCCAAATTCTAATCTTCTGAATTCTTCATGTTCCCATTTTTTCTTCTCTTTCCAAATTTATTTCACTGAGTTATACTCCTTGAATAACATCTTCAAACCCTAATTTTCGCGATTACTGCTTATGCTTTTACTATCTCGATCACTATGGGATTTGAATCGACAATTGCAACTCTGTGGTAATGTGGTATGACAACTTGAACTGATGTACGTACATACCTATGAAGTTCTATGCTGTTGCTGACTGACTATATAAAACTACAACAACAGATCAATTATTCATTGTACGGAAACGTGAAAAATCACATTGACGACAACAGTGACGAAATACAAACAAACAAACAAACATCAAATGTACAAAAACTTGGATCAAACAGGGGTATAAACGAATTTAGTTATAATTCACTTGATATTGTTTTACTTGAATCTTCTCACTGATATTTAGGACTGAAATTGATCAGTCTCTTATTGGCATATATGCATACTGTGCATATTGCCTTAATTTAAAAGCATTATAAGCAAAGCTGACGAGTCCCAAATAGGACGAAACATGCGTCCTGGATTCCACAAAACAAGAATATGATTGTTAAAAATAAATAGAATAACAATATAAAAAACAAACATTTACAATTGGAATAAGGATTAAACCAGTCAGTTATTTACAATGTAGGACCAGGTATATATATGTATCGGTCCAAGTTATTACAGTTCACTCATTAGCACAACAAGATGAACACTGAATTCATAGAAATAATAGTTAACTCAATGATGTAATATATAAAGGAAAGATTTTATGTAAGGATATAGTACAGAAAGAAAGTTTAAGGGAAGACAAAGAGTGTATACACCTAAATAATGAATGACAAATAAAGTATTGTAGTATGTTTCCATTCGTTGATGGATATATCTATATCTGATAATCGATCAATATGAAACTTACGATTCTTTCTATGCATTTCCAACCTAGTCGTGTTTTAGAAATATACATATAAACATATGAAATAGGTGTTTGGATTATTTTTTTAGGGGATGAGATCGCTAAACCCATGCCCAAACCTCTTCCTTTATCTGGGACTTGAGACCGGCGCAGTAGTCTCAAAAGGGCTCCAGGCGAAGATGATGAACTAGCTTTTCTATCATACATGCATCAATAAATGCAGGAGAAGATGATCAGTGTAACATCAGCCTCATAAGTAGTAGGTCTCAACATACACAAAGGGAAAAGTAAGATTCTTCGATACACCACAAATGCACCAATCAAATCACATTTGGCGAAGATTTGGAGGATGTAAAAACCTTTACATATATGGGCAGCATCATTGATGAGCACAGTGGATCTGATGTAGATGTTAAGGCGCGGATGGACAAAGAAAGGACAACATTCTTACACTTGAAGAACATACGGAACTCAAAACAACTGTCAATCAACACCAAAGTTAGAATTTTCAGTACAAATGTCAAGACAGTTATACTGTATGGGGCGGAAACCTTGAGAACTACGAAAGTCATCATCTAGAAGATACAACAGCAACAAACTACTGTGAGAGAGAACAAACAAGATCCCATCGGAGGAAGAAAACAGGAAGAAGCGTTGGAAGTGGATAGGACACATATTGAGGAAAGCATCCAACTGCGTCACAAGACAAGCACTCACATGGAATCCTGAAGGCCAAAGGAAAAGAGGAAGACCAAAGAACACATTACGCCGGGAAATGGAAATAGACATGAGAAAAATGAACAAGAATTGGATGGAACTAGAAAAGAAGGCCCAGGACAGAGTGGGTTGGAGAATGCTAGTCGGTGGCTTATGCTCTATTGGGAGTAACAGACGTAAGTATAGTAAGTAAGTAAGATGTTGAATCAACTAGCTGGAGAACAGACACATGTAGAGTATAACTAAGTTCCAATCATTTCGAAAGGCATCAAGATACACAGCATACTACCATACGAGAAGGTCCTAGGAGAGCTTCATTTACTGTCTTTACTTTTTCTTACTTTCAATTTTTTTCCGTTACATCGTTGCGGTTTCACGTTTCGTCTAAGCTCAGGAAGAGAATTGTGATAATGGCAATAGTTATCAAACCAAAACAATTATCTTACATTCAAGCACAGTGAGCCAGAAATAGGAAACTGTCTCACACGTCAAAATGATCAACTTTTAACCATTAATCCATCAGTTTAAACATCTTCCCACCGTACTTAAAGTTTCAGTACAAGGATGGTATTCAGTTCGCCCATGTATGTACAATGCGAGACTTAGAAACGCCATGTATTTATACATACACTTTATAATGAACTTAAATTTAAATTAATCATTTCGAATTACTTAGCATATCCAGTAGTCAAAAATATTGTTCCTAGAGAAAGTTACTAAATATGGAAGATTATTAGGTCATAATTGATTGGTCACTGGGTGGCGATCAATGTCATGCGTGTCTAGTCCTTATTAGTGCAGATCGAATACTATCGGCCATGTTGCAATATGGCCACCAGTCTAGGTGACTCGACACTGCGGGCACTATCTAGTCTCAAGATTATTAGGTCCCTTAGTTACTATACGAGATGTGTCAAATGACTCTCTGTATTAATGTTATACAGATCCTTACATGCATTGGAGAGTTGTTCAAATGACATTTCATAGACAAATGATTATAACACTAGTTCTAAGAATGTCGAATGATAACTACACATCAATTTTCATTCTCTCAAACACATGATTTGTATGCAAAAGTACGTTCAACTTGGACTGGATTAATTGAACCTTGTGTAATTAAGAATGTGGATTGTCAATTAGTTAGATGAGATTGAACTAACTGATATAATATCATACAGTAAAATAGAAAATTCACTTTTGTATTGGTTGTTTGAATCTTCCCATTGAAATTTAGGATTGTAATTGAACAGTCTCTTGTTAGTATATGTGCATCCTGCGTGGATAGCCTTGATTATTTATTTAAACACATAAACATTGGTACAAGAAGGCACCAAATACATATGCACCACACTAGTCACTTGATTTGTGTGAGGGCTGTGATACTGACCGGGTGACCAAACCGAAGCAGGTAGTTTTCTTAGGGGGTCACACCCAAAACCTTCGGCCTGAAGGTTTGATCCACAAGGCAGTGGAGCAACGTAAGGAGATGCAGTCCCATGGTAGCCGGTGACCAACGATTGGTTCATATGCCATTTTTCCCCGTAGGTTACTGGAACCCATGTGCACCATTGGTTTGGAATCCGGTTAAAGCGCCGGACATTCGCTTTTCGTCCTCTCAATTTCGTAAACAACACCCCTGGTAGGAGAAGGCAGTGAGTAGGACTTCCCTTCCAGAGACTGTATACGCGTGGCCGTGTGAGAGCATTACGAGAGGGGGGGCCCACCCCACTCTTAGCCATACCAGGGTATTTGGGGGCGGATAGCCTTGATACTGAGGTATGTATATATGCCAATATAAGACTGATCAACTGTAGTCCTAAATATCAATGGTAAGATTCAAACAACCCATATAAAAATGAATTTACACTTCATCCCATTGCACAAGCTAGTGGCTATCAGGAGTCAGTAGATAATTCGATAACGAAATAGCGTTTCCAGTGAACGTTACCAGGCTCGAGTTTCACAGTGAACATCAACTCTAAAATGCAGATACATATAGCTAACTATTCATCTCTGCTCAAACTAGAAGATTATATAGTCGAAGTTAAAGATTTCTTCTACGATACACTCTCTTCAGTTAACTTTAGACACTATATACTACAGAAAAAAATGTCACACTTTACTTACATCAGATAAATTTTGTTTCAGTCAGTCAGTCAGCTACAACGTAGGACCAGGCACATATGTGCATCGGTCCAGGTTGCCATACCTCATTAGCACAACAAGATGAACACCGGATTCATAGGAGTGGTTAGGTCAAAGGTTGCAATAAGGATATAGTATAGGAAGGAAGAATTAGTTCGTAGAAAGAAAGATATGAAGTGATTTTAATCTCTTAGTTTAAGGGAAGACAAGGAGTGTATACACCGACGCCATTGTGATCGATTCTGAGCCATGTCACCAAGAGTCTCCAACCATTGGTTTCGAAAGTCACGCGGACCCCAACCAAGTAGTCTGCATCTACCAACATGGCTAAGACTAGAAGTTAGTGACTTCAAGCACTGATGCCACGTTTTGGTTTGGCCGCCCCTGACGTTCTTCCAATATACAGTAAAATTAATACAAAGTATTAAAATGTAACTAATTACACATAAGAAAAATAAAAAAACAACAATTGAGATTCAGTAAAAAAAACCCAACACAAAATAAAAAAAGAATCAATTCTTAAATGGTTGAGATTGTAAAACACAAGATGATGATAATGCACGTTGAAATAAAGTATTACTAGTAGTTAATAAAGTACCATCATTGTTTAATCGATACATACCAACTGATGGAGTTGATGTATTCGGTAAAATCATTCTTTGTTGTTGTTGTTGTTGTTGATGGTGATGAGGAGGAGGAGGAGGATTTTGTGGAATATGTTGAAGAATCGATGGTTGTGTTAAAGAGAAATGTGGTTGATCGGTGATATTAGATGAATTGGTTATGTTGGGTGATTGAGAATGATGACGTATAGAACCATTTAAATTATTCTTATTCTTATTATTATTCAATTGACTTTTAACTTGTACACAAGAAGCCATATGAAAAGGCCAATGTTTTGACTGGCAAGTACTATTGCAATACGATGTATTCCAACAACAATAATAATAGGCTATACGTCCACAATATGCACACTATAAGATGTATTTAAACAAAGAAGAAAAAAAAACGGAGTCAATTCAATTATATAAAATGAATGAATATGATTTCAAAATAAGTTAGTGTACAACACGTTAGATTATCTTCTCAAATTATTAAAATCAATGTATCAGTCGAGATTGGGGTGAGTCAGCTTTCCCTTGAGAAATGCTCTCAAGTGGCCACGTGTATATAACCACTACCAAAGAAGTCCTCCTCACTGCCTTCCCACAGTATTACTGTTAATTACGAATTTGAGGGAATAAAAAACCAATATCCGGCGCTCTAACCGGGCTGGTGTACGAAGGATCTATCTAAGGGAGTTGAAAAACCCTGGTGTACCAATGGTGTATATGAGCTCCAGGATTCTAAGGAACCAAATGGTATATGAACAAAGTGTTGGTCACCTGCTACCATGCGACTGCATCTCCTCACGTTGCTTCACTGCCTTGTGGATGAGACCTTTAGGTCAAAAGCTCCGAGTGTGACCCATACAAAATGATTATATTTGGTTAAACAGTAATTACAATACACATGGTGACAAATCAGTTGATTTTTAAGAAAATTTATTGAATATTTTAAATAATAGAAAAGATGATAAGATATGTGTATAAACAGAAATGTGATCTTGAATGCTCTTAGAGGTATCAGGGTTTGTTACTTCTCGGTTGCCCATAGCCCATACCGTAGAAGGGTTCTTCTGGATGTACCTAAAATTAGGTTACGGGTGGTTTTATTGACGTGAGAGTGTGACTACAGTGCCCAAGCGGACAACTGCTTGAGGTTGATCACACACAACCTTTTTGTGAGTAATTTTCATGTTGGTCTGATTAGCCCTAATGGGTTGGTGTCTAACGAAATCTCTGCACGGATTCAAAAAGGTCGTTTGGATTTTGCCAACCTATGTTGCCTATGACGAAGGTAAGATATCCGTCTATCAATTAAGGGACGAGTATACTGTGCAGCAGTTCGTTCTGTTATATTTTACGGCCGCGAAATCTGGCCTTTAAGAGTAGAAGATACTCGTAAACTACAAGTATTCGATCACAAATGTCTTGGAAATATTGCTTGCATCTACTGGGATCACCGGGTAAGTAATAGTGAGGATAGACACAGGGCATAAGGGAATGATAGTAAATCAGTTGATGAGGTTGTGATTTTGCATCGACTGAGATGGTTGGGCCACGTATTACGTATACCTGAACAACGATTACCACGACGTGCAATGCTAACCGGTGTTCGGGATGGTTGGAAGAAAGTTAGGGGCGGCCAAACCAAAACGTGGCATCAGTCCGTGAAGTCACTAAATTCTAGTCTCAGCCATGTAGATAGATGGAGACTACTTGGTTGGGGTCTGCATGACTATCGTAAACAATGGTTGGAGACTGTGAGTGACATGGCTCAGAATAGATCACAATGGCATAGGTGTATACACTCTCTGTCTTCCCTTAAACTAAGGGATTAAAATTGCTTCATATCTTTCTTTCTACGAACTAATTCTTTTTTCCTGTACTATATCCTTATATGCAATCTTTCTTTTATATATTATCACCTCTGAATTAACTACTTTTATGAATCCGGTGTCCATCTTGTTGCGTTAATGAGGTATGGCAACTTGGACCGATGCATATATGTGCCTGGTCCTACGTTGGAGCTGACTGACTGACTGACTTAATGACATAATAATTAACAATAATTAAAGAATTAAAACAAATGAGATGAGTTGGGATCAATAGTGTAAGTGTATCATTGTTTACAATAACATACCAACTGATGTTATATCACTAAAAGGGATCAGGAAAAACATCTATACACAGAATTTATTGATAGTTGGAACTGATCAACAAGCAGTGTCTCTGTATTCTTATTTATTTTAACACATAGATATTGGTACAAGGAGGCACCAAATACATATGCGCCACAAAAATCTCATTTGATATGTGTGAGGGTTGTGACACTGCTCGGGTGCCCAAACCGAAGCAGGTGGTTTACTAAGGGGGCCACTCCCCGAGCTTCCGACCTGAAGGTTTGATACACAAGACAGTGGAGCAACGTGAGGAGATGTAGTCCCATGGTAACCGGTGACTAACAACAAGTTCATACATCACTTGTTCCTTCAGGATATTGGAGCCCATGTGCACCATTGGTTTATAATCAGGGTTTTCCAACTCTTCTAGGTGGGCTCTCCATGTCCACCAACCCGGTTAAATCGCCGGACATTCGCTTTTCGTCCTCTCAATTTCGTAAACAACAACCCCGCCACGAGAAGTCAATGAGTAGACCTCCTGGAAGAGACTATATACACGTGACCATGTCAGAGCATTTCAAGAGGGAGAGCGAACTCTTCCCACTCTCGGCCGTACCAGGGCATTTGGGGTCCTCTGTATTCTTAAGGAGACTAGTGATCGGCATGAGATTTAGACTTAATGTTACAATAATGAGAGTTAGGCAGCATTAAGAGGGTTTTTGTTGATAACTTTCAAAAAACTACACTGCAATATCAAGTCACCTGGAAATGTTGTTCTAAAGTATCTCATCAGAACGAAATATGAATGTTGAAGAAATCAAGTTTAAAAAGGATAAAATCTATGAATATACATTTATACAAATTTCAAAACATTCAATTACTGAATACAACTTACCCATTGACGACGTTTTACAATATCAACAATTCTTATCACATCATATTCCCATATTCTACTAGCAGCCTCCATAATAGCAATAAGTTCATCATTCCATATTCTACGTAATTCACCTATACGACGTTGCATTTCTAATCCCATTTCAGCACGTGTATATCTAACTAATACATTTAAACGTTGAACTTCTTGTTCCATACGAAGAATTTCTGCTTCCATCATACGTTCTTGTAATGTTGATGGTCTATAATCATTTAATATAGAAAGATCTGTAGATACTTCCATTATATCGGTTTGAACTGATTTTGTATCGTTGATCACATTTATAGTTTTCAATGATTTGCTATCATCTAATAGATGGATATCATTATTAGTTTGTATTGCAACATCACAACAAATTGGATGTAAATTTGGTAGTTCTGAATTAGTCAATGGATAAACACCAACTACAATGGAACAATATATATATTCTTATTGTGACAAAATAAAAACAGGGAAAAATCAATAATTTATCGATGTATATTACAGGAAGGGGTTCTGTGGAGATTGTAGTGACTTAAACAGTTTGAGATTATGAGTCAATTAAAGCTAGACCACCATGGAAAACTTGGAAGCACTGGACGGCCGTTTCGTCCTATTGTGGGACTTCTCAGCAGTGCGCATACATGACCCCGCCTCGCGGACTCGAACCCAGGACGATCATTATGACAAAAATAATCTAATATGAATGATGTTAAATATGCTCATTAGATCTGTTATGATCTGATTTTCAAGAGTTCTCAGTATTTACTAGTACAGTGTTTGTTTTATATACACCAATTGAAGTTAGACATTAACACTGTTGGATGCTGGTTAGCTCAGTGGTCTAGAGGTTAAGCGTTCGCGCGAGAAACTGATAAATCCTGGATTCGAATCTCGTGAGGTGGGATCGTGGATGCACATTGCTGAGGAGTCCCGTACTAGAATGAAACGGTTGTCCAGTGCTTCTAGGTTTTCCATAATGGTCTAATTTCAATTGACTCATGAATCCAACTACTAAATTAATTGAAGTATGTTGATAAGTTTCAAGGAAATAAGATACATTTTGAAAGACTTCTTAACATGTAAAGTTGTAAAATTGGCACTTATTTACCTAGTACCATATATAAAGGATGAATAGCAACTGGAAATGATTACCAAGGAAAGGGTTGAATGGAGAATACTGGTGGGAGGTATATGCTCCTCCACGACGGGTAACAGGGGTAAATAACAAAATAAAATAAATACATTTTTTTAAAAATCTCGATGATAATTAACAAATAACAATTCACTGTAGTTAAAAATGTAAATCTTCTTCGTGTTATATCACTAGCTAGTTGCTAATATCACTGAATGTAGTTTTTTTAAAGACCTCTGTGTTAGCATAGGGTGAATAATGAGAAAGTAGATAATCTTAAAACTATTTTAAGAAGAGGAAAGCAGCAGGACCTAACAATATACCAGCTGAAGCACTGAAGTCAGACATCGAATTAACTACAAACGTGCTTAACCTTTTATTCAAGAAGATTTGGGATGAGAAACAAGTGCCAAAGGACTAGAAAGAAGGTCACCTCGTCAAGATTCGAAAGAAAGGAGATCTGAACAAATGTGAGAATTACAGAGGCATCACACTACTGTGAGTAACAGGGAAAGTCTTTGACAGGATGTTGCTGAATTGGATGAATGACGCAGTAGACGTCCAACTTCGAGATCAACAGGCTGGATTCCGTAAGGATCGGTCGTGCACAGACCAAATCGCGACACTACGGATCATCGTCAAACAATCAGTTGAGTGGAACTCGTCACTGTACATCAACTTCACTGATTATGAAAAGGCGTTTGACAGTGTGGATAAGAGAACATTATGGAAACTACGGAGTTCCTGAGAAGATTGTTAACATTATCCGGAGCTCATACAACGGACTATAATGCAAAGTAACAGGTGTAAGTAATTTTAAGAAGAATCATTAGAGACACTTTTATAGTATAATTATCACACGACTGAACTAATGTATCTTTTTGAAATCTGCCTAGTATGGTAAGCTTCCGTTGGACAAGTTAACTACTATTATACATCTTACTATCCTTAAATTATTGTTAATTAATTTTCCGCCTCATGCTAAGTTTGGTTAGCTTACTTTTAGCGAGTTAGTTAGTCCGCTAGAAATGGATAGGACACACATTGAGGAAAGCACACACCTGTGTCACAAGGTAAGCCCACGCTTGTAATCCTCAATACCAAAGGAGAAGAGGAAGACGAAAGAACACATTACACCGAGAAATGGAGACAGATATGAGAAGAATGAACAACAATTGGATTGAACTAGAAAGGCCCAGGACAGAGTTGTTTGGATGAATGCTGGTCAGCGGCCTATACTCTATTGGGAGTAACAGGCGTAAATAAGTAAGTCATGCTACGTTTCCTATTACTTATGAATTGGTTGTATATAAGCTAAGATTTTTTTATTTGTCATGTGATAATCAATATATGTAAGCGTGTGTTTCGGTTGTTATGATAAGCAAAAGTAAAAGTTTTATCTTCTTGTTGTATCTGTGTTCCGATTGACTACCATGCTAGAGAGATGTTTCATGCTGAAAAGATAGAAGTAAAGATATTAGCGGTTGTTCCACAAGCCTGATGGTTGTCGGTCAAGTCTTGTCATCGGTTAAAGTAAATTATGATGGTCTATGTTTGAAAAAGAAGTTGTAAGTAGCTGGTGATAATCCAAGTAATAAAGGAACTTATATCATACTGCTACGTTAGTTATTCTCATTTTATTCAGATTTTTAAATCCAAAAGATTATATAAATAATACACAAATGTTCGACGATTAAGCTCAATATAATTAATGACAGGGTGCGGGATCGTGGATGCGCACTACTGAGGAGTCCCATACTAGGACGAAACGGCCGTCCAGTGCTTTCAGGTTTTCTATGGTGGTCTAGCTTCAATTGGCTCGTGATTTCAACCAGTGAAATTTCTAAAATCTCCACAAAACCACTTCTGATAAAAGCATAATCTTAACCGAAAATAGGCAGTTATTGTCGTTATTCAGTATTATCTGTCCAGCAGTGTTAAAGTTAGGCATAGGGTACTTGACCAATGTGGAAAATCGGTTAGTGGGGTATATTAAATCATTAACTAAAGTGGCTAGGACGCCTACCGTTATTCACGAACTCGAATCAAGTCGATAATTTTATACAATGATTGACGATATATATATTTCGATAGCAATCAGAAACAATTCATTTGGAGTCAGATTTCGGGTCACAAAATGTCAATCGAACAATCAATTACTTCTTGGTTGGGGTCCGCGTGACTATCGTAACCAATGATTAGAGAGTCTGGATGACATGGCTCAGGATCGATCACAATGGCATAGGTGAGATTAAAATCGCTTCATACCTTTGTTTCTACGAACTAATTCTTTCTTCCTGTACTACACCTTGACATAAAATCTTTAAATTGGTAGAACAGGTTAACAGTAGAGCAGATAGTACAACTTCTATTATTAAACGGATCGAGTACGTGTGTGTTCGAACTAAGAAACGAAACCATTGTTGTTTCACATTATATCAAAACAAACAATCCTATTAAAATACTTACTCTTGTCTGTAGCATTTATTGTAGGAGCTAACTGTTCCTGTAATTTTCGTAAAGCTTCATTAACAGAATTTCGAAAATCATCCAATATCGTATGTACATTGTCTGATGTGTTTGAAGTAGAAGGTCTTTAGAAGTAAAAAAAATACCCAAGAAAACAAATACATGAAACTGAAGACTTAAACATCTTGTAGAAATTTCGATTACGTTGGTACAAAAGCCTCGGAAGGCCTTTGTCAACTTGAGATACCCATGATATAGATGAGATGGCTGTTTGTCAACCAAAGGTAGAGTATAGTATGTAGCAATTTGTTCCGTTCTACTTTACGGTTGTGAAGTGTAACTTTTAAAATATAGTAAGGTACTAGTATTTGAACATGGATGCTTTCTGAGCATTGCTCGTGTATTTTCAGCAATTCTGAGATCCGATGATGTGGAATACTAAGAACAGTAAAATGGTTGATGACGTGATAGTGAATTCTCATCGACTGAGTTGGTTGTAAAATGTATTACGTATGTCCAATTACCGTGCGATTATGATTGGTGTAGTAGTAGATTGGAAGGAAGTTAGAAACGGCCGTACACCAAGGTGTAATATCGGTTTATAGAGTCAGTGACTGATGGACAGAGCCATATTGATTATGGTCCGCATGATTATCGTAAGCAAGACTTCGAGTGGTGTGTCTCAGAATCTGTCTCAAGGGCCTAGACGCATTCACTATATAACCTCTTAGATAATGAGTCCTAAAAATACCTTACACACTTTTTGATTCATTTATTTATTCTACTTGAATCACATTGGCTATACTCAATTGCTTTTACAACAGCCAACACTGCTACTACTCTGGCATTCGTCTAGATAATTTGATCTCACTGTAGCGATTTCATGCGGTAGGTTGAATTGATGAACACATCCATCGGGCTCTAAGATATTCATGACAAACTGAACTGGTTTGGTTTTGTCGCACGTAGTTTCCTCTCAAATTTTATCCACTCCAAAAACCACAACATGTCGAGGTAAATTGTGGTTCAGGATACGTGAAATATATCATGACCACCTAAGAGACAAACATATATAGCCTCACAAATAAGTTGGCCAACTTTTTCTAGTACTCTACGTTATCCCAAGATACGTGATCAATATTTCTAAGAAGTTCATAATCAAACGCCTACAGTGTACTACTCACGCTTATCTCTGAATTTAAAGCTCGTATGAAACGACTCAGTGCATTATTTGATTTACCCAATCAAACTGAAATCACAGTACCAAAAAATATAACGTCTGGATAAACATGTAGATTAATTTAGGTTATTGCATTAATACAACGTCAGGAAGAGAGAGGATATTAAGGAAATAGAAATCAATAATTGGTGGACATTAAACAACTGTAATAATAATGATGAATGAGTTGAAGAATATCGTGAGTTGATTGAAGTTAGACATGTACACCATTTGATGCCGACTTAGTAGTCTAAAGGCTAAGTGTCACCCGTGAGATTAAAGATCTTGGGTTTGATAACCGGTTGCAATGTTGTGTGTCGGCACTACTGAGTAGTTCCAAACTAAGACGGAACAGCTGTTTAGTGCCTCCAGTTTTTCAATGGTTACATGGCTAGGATCAGCTGGTGATCAACACTATGAAGAATCATAATACAATCCAAATCCATAGCATATCTAGCGTCGAAACCGAGGATAATAACATAAATGTCAGCTATTGGATAAACAATTTTTAGTCGTCATTAAAAGTCTCCGACCATACACAATAGGATTATCTTGTAGACCATAACCAAAACGTTTATACTTACCAACATGACTCAATTCAAAAGTCAATGACTTCATGATATTACATCTCGATATAGCCGAATACCAGCAACTATCGTAATACCCGAATTAGTGCATGAGTATAAATCACCTTAGTTGATGAGCGCCTAAAGTTTCATCAAACAACTAATCAACTTAATCAAATGCATTACGTTTAAACTCACGGCTTAATGAGAATTCTAGTGACCTATGAATAACACTTTCATCTTTATAGATCAAAATATTGCAAACATAGTTGTAGTAGAAAAAGCGAGACGGTTGGGCCACGTGTTACGTATGCCTGAACACCGATTACCACGACGTGCAATGCTAACCGGTGTTAGAGATGGTTGGAATAAAGTTAGGGGCGGCCAAACCAAAACGTGGCATCAGTCCGTGAAGTCACTAAATTCTAGTCTCAGCCATGTTGGTAGATGCAGACAACTTGGTTGGGGTCCGCGAGACTTTCGTAACCGATGGTTGGAGACTCTTGGTGACATGGCTCAGAATTGATCACAATGGCGTAGGTGTGTACACTCTCTATCTTCCCTTACACTAAGACATTAAAATCGCTTCATATCTTTCTTTCTACGTAGGAACTCTTTCTTCCTGTACTATATCCTTGTATGCAATCTTTTATATATTACCACCACTGAATTAACTACTATGAATTTGCTGTTTATCTTGGTGTACTAATGAGTGAAGTATGGCAACTTCGACCGATGCATATATGTGCCTGGTCCTACGTTGTAACTGACTGAATAAAAAGCAAACACAAGAATCACTCATTAAAAAAAACAACCGTAACTAACACAAATACTTACATCATACTATCAGAGACAAATTGTATTTCATCTGTTGTTAACGGAACTATAGGTTCACTATCATTTTCAATGGGTAATGAATTCTCTTCGATAACAACCGTAATGTCATTGCTCATATTATTATCATCTTTACTATTGATCTCATCATTATTGGCCAAATTGGTAATGATAGTTGTTGTTTTATGTTCAGTTAATAATGGTTTTAAAGTGATTTTTTTCAAATGATGATGTTTACTCTTTTTACGTTTTTTCTTATTATAATCAATGGTATCATGAATATCTTCCGAGCTAATACTTTCTAATTCCATAGTTATTGTTGATGATGAAGATGTATCATTATATTTACGTTTCATAGGATTTACATCAATCATTGGTTGACATAAAGTTTGTAAGACTGTTGTTGTTGATGATGATGATGATGATGTTGATTCTGATGTAATAATTGGTGAATTACGTAGACTAGCAGCAACACGTGTTAAAACTGGTTCACGATATACATCATTTGTAGAAGGTATACGATTTGATTTAATTGTATTATCTATTTTTTCATTGGTTGTAATATTAACATTTGTTGAAGGGATTGTATTGATACTATGAGAAGTTGTATTACAAATCACTTGTGTTGTATTTACAGTATGATTCATATCAATGATAGAATTAGTATCATTAATGAGATTTATTGTTGTTTCAGATGTAGAAGAAGTAGGAGAAGGAGTTTCAATGAATGGACTATGAAAAGAAAACAATTTTGGGTTGATATTTGAAAAAAAAATTAACCTTTCCCCCAATTTTATCAATTCTTTAGTTTAATTTGAATGAATATCAGAAGGGGTTTTGTGGATATTATAGTTCAGATCATGAGTCAATTGAAGCTAGACTACCATAGAAAACCTGCAAGCAGTGATCGGCGGAGTTCAACCAGGTCTGTTGTGAGAGAGTAACTCACTGAAAACCATGGTGGATGTGTCGTTCAATTTCGTGGATTAGTTGAAGTTAGACATTAACACTATTGGATGCCAGCCAGCTCAGTGGCCTAGTGGTTAAGCGCTCGCACGCGAGACTGATACGTCCTGTGTTCGAATCTCGTGAGGCGGGATGGTGGATGCACACTGACGACGAGTTCCACAATAGAACGAAACGGTAGTCCAGTGCTTCCAGGCTTTTCATGGTGGTCTAGCTTGAAGTGAATCATGATCTCAACTATTAAAATTAATTTAAATTATTATGACAAACTTTATGAATAGATGCTTAGTGTTCAGTTCCAATTATTAGAACGAATAGTCAACTAAACAACGCCAAACACCTTGGTTGAACATTCACACTTAATTCGTTAATTAAAAAATTAATGTAACTAAATCTTGGGATATGAAACGATAGCTTAATGTTCATAAGTACTAAGCTTCCAACCAAAAGGTCACATGTTGGAATCTGGCAATAATGACTTAGTTCAAGGAGTGTCATTTTATTTATTTATTTATTTATTTAAATACATAAACATTGGTACACGGGGGCACCAAATACATATGAGCCACATAAATCATTCGATTTGTGTGAGCGCTGTGATACTGCCCGAGTGCCCAAACCGAAGCAGGCAGTTTTCTTACGAGACCACACCCCGAGCCTTTGACCTAAAGGTTTGATCTACAAGGCAGTGGAGCATCGTGAGGAGATGTAGTCCCATGATAGCCGGTGACCAACGATTGGTTCATACACCATTTGTTCCCGCAGGATACTGGAGCCCATGTGCGCCATTGGTTTGGAATCCGGTTAAAGCGGCGTACATTCGCTTTTCATCCTCTCAATTTCGTAAACAACACCCCTGGTAGGAGAAGGCAATGAGTAGGACTTCCCTGGCAGAGGCTGTCATCAGTTTTGATGCAAGTAGAATGTATCGAAGTCGAGTAAATAACATATGCATTTAATCAATGAAATACATGATTACAACAAAGTTTGTAAATTACACGTTCGGATATTTAGATCAGAGACACAATGTTGGTGTTATGCATAGTGAAAATGTTATATCCCAATGAAGATCAAAACTATGAGTAACTTCTGAGAACTATTCTTATTCTATAATTATTCAGTAACTAGGTTGTGTCTATCTATATTCCTCTTATTATAACCTTTATTTTGACCTAAAGATTATACGATTTACTGTTCTTAAATTATACTCAGTTTATTAATTCAAGTCTACCACATTCATAACTACTTTTTGGCTTCATCTTGTGTATAAATTTTCTTTTCTATTTGATCCTGTCTGTTTGGTTGGAATATAAACCAAGTATGTTTGAAATAAATGATTCATATAATGGAAGCTGTTATTGGTGTTCTGGACTCAACTGGAAGAGCTCGGTGAACAAAGGAACAATAAGGACGCTAGGCTGCTCATACCAGTTGAATGTCATTGGGTTTGCACAGTACTAAGATTGTATAAGTTGTATTTCGATTGTGGCTTAAAGTCACAACAGATAATAATTGGTGATTTGTTATGACGAAGGAAAACGGTATAAAACGCACAAGTGTCTTGTATGGATTTATAATAAGCTGATTGGGATTTTTTTTATTATCTACCTGTTGTGATTTAAACAATTAATGCGCTATGTAAAAGTATTTATTAGTTTGACTGATAGCGTCTGAACCTTTTATCTATCCTCCCATTAGTTGTAAATATAAATAATCAATAACTTACCCATTATTGATTAACAATATTTCCGGTTAGCGTCTTTTAAACGAGTTAGTTTTCTACAGGATGGGGTCGCTAACCCTATACCCAACGCTCCTCCTTTATCCGAGCTTGGGACCAGCAGTATCCCCAGAGGAGCTCACTCACTCACTGCCTAATATGCTTATCTCTCTCTCGTGGTTATGGGTTTTATTCATTATTAACAATACTATCTCAATAACTAGTGTTCTGGCTTTTGAATATCCTCAAGTAAATTCATAGTACTACTACAATAATTGGCCTGGTAAAATACTTAGTTAACGAGACATTTTATATTGGAGTCAAATGGAGAAGAATTAACCTATATATGTTCAAAATGACATCCTTCTGTTAAGGACTTATTTTTGTCTTTCATCTTTCTAGTATTGACAACAACAAAGGAAATTGAATTAAGATTTGTCTCTAAAAGGTATTTTTGTGTGAATATATATCACTGACAATACTGGAGTGGAAAGAATTCAACATGACATACAACAGAAAAACAATGATATCAAAGAATATTAGGCGGTTAGAGGTAGTTGATCAGAGACCCTAATCCTAAGTTTCCTGCTAGTTGGTACCTATCATGAAGGAGCACGTGTAATCTTGCAAGAATTGATATTCTTTCACAGAATAGTAATTATTGTCATGTTTGTTTGATCAAATTTTATCGATTAAGGTGTGTCTTTTTGATAAATGTTAACTAGCCTAAAACATAAGTTATGGATTTCTTGAAGACTACTTCCAACCATGTAATATAATATCACAGTATACTCTACTGGATGTTAATTCACTTAGACCAATGGCTGCATTACAATTCGATTAGTATCAAAGAATTGGAAAATCATGAAACTAGAGATCAATTAATTGTAAATATCGACAAATGATCAGATTTACTAGAAACAGACGGAAAAAACACATAAATTCACTTGGTGTCGTTTTACTTATATCTTCCCATTGTTATTTAGGACTGCAATTGATTAGTCTTATGTTGGCATACGTGCATCCTGTGAGGATTGCATCGATAAAGCCTTAAATCACAAGCTTTTTAAGCAAAGATGGACAGTGACTAGCCGTGGGATAGTCTCTGTCAGGGAAGTCCTCACTTCCTTCTCCTACCGAGGTGTTGTTTACAAAATGAGGACTAAAAGCGAATTCTGGCGCTTTAACCGGTTTAGTGGACACTAAGAGTACACCTAGGGAAGTTGGAAAACCCTGATTATAAACCAATGGTGCATATGGGCTCTAGTATCCTGAAGGAAGAAATGGCGTATGAACCATTCGTTGGTCACCGGTTACCATGTGACTGCATCTCCTCACGATGCTCCACTGCCTTGTGGGTCGGACCTTCAGGTTCAAGGCTCCGGGTGTGGTCCCCTAAGAAAACCACCCGCTTCGGTTTGGGCAGCCAGGCAGTATCACAACCCTCACACAAGTCAAATGAGATTTGTGTGGCGCGGCTCAGTGGTCTAGAGGTCAAGCGTTCGGATCCCGTGAGCGAGATCGTAGATGCTAACTGCTGAGGAGTCCCATAATAGAACGAAATATCTGTACAGTGCTTCAAGGTTTTCAATGGTGGTCTAACATCAATTGATACATGGCCTCAATCAAGAACTGTCTCATTTTAATTTTGACATTATTACTTGTTAATTAATATTTATAACTTCATCAGCTATATATATGTAAACAAACAGTTTATTCATTTGCTAACTGATAGGTCGTATGTGACCAGCTGCAAACAGTTGTCAACATTCAATTACCTTTCCTGAAGTATCATCATCGAATATTGATTCTTTCATAATGTATAACTCAATAGGTCAATCAGTCAGTAACAACGTAGAACTTCGTACGTACGTACGTAAGTACATCAGTTCAAGTTGTCATACTACATAAGCATAAAGATGCAGTTGTCGATTCAAATCCCATAGTGATAGAGATAGTAAGAGTATAAACAGTAATCGGAAACATTTAGCTTTGAAGATGTTATTCAAGGAGTATAATCCAGTGAAATAAATATCGAAAGAGAAAAAAAAGGAGACAATGAGGATTCAGCAGATTAAAAATTTGGGAGAACACAAAGACTGGATACACCTGTGCCATTATAAACCATTTTGAGCCATGTCACATTCAACGTCTCTAACCATCAGTTGTTATCATCTCACGAATCCCAACCAGATAGTCTACACCTACTAACATGACCCATCAATAAGAAATTTTAAAAAAATCTAACCCATATACACATTTATCATCAATGAATTATTCATAAAGAATAAATAACAATTATAAAATATGATGCCAACTTACAGATAGATGCTGAAGAATATCACAAAAGTAGAAACTTATAAAAAAAAAAACTCTAATCAAAATCAGATTGTATATCACATAACTAAAATATGTTCAATGTGTTTAATGCCAAATTGTAAATCAGGTAGTAGTAGCAGTGGTAGTAATAATAATATGATAAATTCACAAAATACATATATATATACTTGGTCAATGGTTAATTACTAAGGTCCGTGAACAATAACAGTAGTAGAATAAGGTAGAAACAGATGTGTACACACACACACACACCTACACATATATATATAACAGTTACTATATATATTTGAGTTGTTCTTTGGTCTAACTAAAGAATAGCACTCAATTTTCTATAGTTTCACATGTAGAAAAAAAGGTAATCTGAAAAAATTTATATATAATTGAATTTTGAACAAATTTTTTTTTCTTAAATCAAGTAAAACACAAACTCACCAAAAGTATTGTTTCACACCTATCTCTCTCTCTCTCTCTCTCATACACACACACGCGTGCGCGCATGCACATACTCACTCACTTGTTCACTTATCATACATTTTGAAGAACTTTATTCATCAGAATTATAATTAATGACCAGTCAATAGTAGTTAGGTAGGTGGGTAGGTAGGCAGGTAAGCTAGGTAGGTAGGTAAGGTAGGTTAGTTGCATACACTAACATTGTAAGTGCATTAATTAAACAATACCAATTTATAGTAACAAATTTATTTATTTAAATAGATAGATAGATACATAGATACATGGTATGATCACAATTTAAGAACAAGAATAGTAGTAGTAGTAATAGTAGTAGTAGTAGTGGTGGTAATGAAAGAAGAAAAACAATAAGACAATATTAATCAGGTATTTAATGAGCTAATCTAAAAAACTAATAATAATAAAAGGTCATCATATATAATAATGATAAATAGATAAACAAATGAAAAGATTTATTGTGAATATTATACATAGATGTCATGATCTTAAGTCAATTGAATAATGAAGATAATGTTATAGTAGAATATTGGTCTGGTTGATTTGTAATATTTATTTATTTAAACACATAAAACATTGGTAAAATAAGAGTAAAGTGTGAGGGCTGTGACAATGCCTGGGTGTCCAAACTGAAGTAGATGGAGCCTTCAACCTAAAGGTCTAATCCACAAGGTAATGGAGTAACGTGAGGAGATGCAATCCCATATACTATTTGTTCCTTCAGGATCCTGAAGCCCGTGTGCACCATTGATTTGGAATCACGGTTTTCCAACTTCTCTAGGTGGATCCTCCATATTCACTAATCCGGTTAAAGTCCCAGACATTCGCTTTTTGTATCCTCTGAATTTCGTAAACAACACTTCCGTCGTGAGAAGTTAGTGAACCTAATGTACTAAGGAGACGTTAATTTAGGTTTCTGGTTGTCGGAAAAGATGATACAACTTTATCATATAGATTGGAGACAAATGAAGCCAGTTTGATTGAGACAGTGTTGTTTATTTGATCGAATAGTTCTAAGAATTCTTCAATGTAGGTCATCTGACACATTACATTTTTTTCAAGTAAATAGATTCATATAAGATTAAATATTATTTAGACTATGAGTTTTTCTTAATATGGCCTACATTGTTGATTCTATGCAATCATTAACTATCCATAAAATTCAGACTGATTCAAGGTTAAGATAATAACGTCTAATACAACTACAAATCAGTTCAATAGTCCATAATTCTAATCAACAGACCAAAAAAAGAAAGAGAAAGAATGGAAAGTATAATATCGATACAAGTTGAACGGAGAAATATTACATGAGAATAAAAATAGTAATTGATTAGGTTTACAATTAGGCAATGAAATTACCAATAGAAGGGGTTTTTATGGAAAACCTGGAAGCACTGGGTGGCAGTTGCATCCATGATAGTCTAGCTTCAATTGACATATGGTCTCAACTATTGAAATTACTATAATATCCACAAAAACCTATTCTGATGCTAATCAACATATGCTCACTACTGACTGGCTTCAAGAGGTATATCCTGGAGTTCTAATGAGAAACAGTGATCAGTAAAGTTCAACCGGGTCTGATGTGACATAATAACTCACTGATGACAACGGTAGATGTGGCGCTCAATTTCGTGGATTAGTTGAAGTTAGACATTAACGCCATCGGATGCCAGCCAGCTCAGTGGTCTAGTGGTTAAGCGCTTGCGCGTGAGACCGATAGGTCCTGTGTTCGAATCTCGTGAGGTGGGATCGTAGATGCACACTGATGAGGAGTCCCGTACTGGGACGAAACGGCCGTCCAGTGCTTCCAGGATTTCAACGGTGGTCTAGCTTCAATTGTCTCATGATTTCAATCAGTGAAATTTCTAAAACCTCCACAAAACCCCTTCTGATATATAGAAAATGTTTATTTGTTTTTCGCTTCAAGAAAACTCAATAATGTTTACATCACCAATGAAAATTATTAATGATCAACAATCAGGTTAACAGTCAGTCATCTACAATGTAGGACCAGGCACATATATGCATCGGTCCAAGTTGCCATACCTCATGAACACAACAAGATGAACAACAAATTAATAGAAGTAGTTACTTCAACGGTAATATTTAAAAAATGATTGCATCTAAGGATATGATAGAGGAAGAAAGAACTAGTTCGTAAAAAGAAAGGTAGAAATTAATTTTAATCTCATTGTTTAAGGAAAGACAAAGAGTGTATACACCTATGCCATTCTGATCGATTCTGAGCCATGTTACCCAGAGTCTCCAACCACTACTGGTTACGATAATCACGCAGACTCCAGTCAAGTCGTCTCCATCTATCTACATAGCTCAGACTAGAATTTAGTGACTTCAAGGACTGATGCCATTTTTTGGTTTATCTGCTCCTAACTAACACAAACTGAGTGATTATTGTGGACAACATTAAGTGAGAAAGTATAAATACTTCAGGTAAACTTAAAGTCATATCAATCTAAATCACATTGCTTAACAGATTAAATCTGAATAAAAGATAACTTGACTAACAGACAATCGATGAATCAGTAAATTATCGTAAGAAAGCAATCTATATTAATATTGGGATAACAGAAATATGGCAGATAACAACAATCACTAAATAATATGCTGAATCCTTTATATCTAGTACCATATCTTTGTCCTATGAACCGATTAATTCTGCTACAGTGCCGAACACTGGCTTTTCATCCAATGAATTTTGTAAACAACACCCTCGCCGGGAGAACCAATGAGTAGAGCATAGGCTACCCCAATAGCATTGTCCATCGAACTTCGTCCTGAACAACCGTTTCCAGTTATCATCCAACCTTTTGAATTCTGATTTCAATTCCCAACGTAGTTTGTTTTTCTACCTTCCTCTTTTCTGTTCCCGTTCACGATTCCAAGTTAGCGCTTGTTTCATGATGCAGTTTGATGATTTCGTCAATGAATGCCCTATCTAGTTCCAGTGTCTTCTCTTAATTTTATCTTCAGTTGGATGTTGGTATTTTCTCTCTCATAATAGGCTATTGCTGATAGTATCCGGCTAATTGACATTGAGTACCTTGTCTAAATAATTGTTCATAGATACATGTGATTTTTTGATAATGGTTGTGGTAGTTCTCGAAGTTTTTCCAATCCTTGCCTTTACATCTACATCGGATCCTCCTTGTTCATGGACGATATTGACCAGGTACGTGGAAGTGCCCACCTCTTTCAAAACTTTTTCATCAAATGTGATTGAATTGGTTTTTCTCCATGTTGGATATGAGAATCTTGCTTTTTGTTTTGTGTATATTGAGACCTACTACTACAGATTCAATGAGCATTTCAATAGGGTAACTAAATTTCGCAAAAAATATATAATATTTGATTGATCAGTTTATTGTACAGATCACATAAATATGAATGATAGTGATAAATACATCATTTGGTTATAGATCGATCACATGGATCACAAACATTGTGAATTCTGATCTTAGATAATTTAGATTCATCATTTCTCTAGTTTCCAATATATAGTCTTGTCTGATTTGTTAGCCCCCAAATACCCTGAGTACGACCGAGAGTGGGGAGAGTCCTCTCTCCCTCTTCAAATGCTCACACATGGGCACGCGTATATAGCCTCAGCCAGAAAAGTCCTACTCATTGCCTTCTCATGACGAGGGTGTTGTTTACGAAATTGAGAGGAAGAAATGTCCGGCGCTTTAACTGGGTTGGTGGACATGGAGAGTCCATCTACGGGAGTTGGAAAACCCTCATTCCAAATCAATGGTGCACATGGACTCCAGTATCCTGAAGAAACAAATGGCGTATGAACCAATCGTTGGTCACCGGTTACCATCGGACTGCATCTCCTCACGATGCTCCACTATCTCCGGTTATGGTCCCCTAAGAAAACCACCTGCCTCAGTCTTGGCACCCGGGCAGTATCACAACCCTCACACAAATAAAATGAGATTTTTGTGGCGCTTATATATTAGGTGTCCCCTTGTACCAATATCTATGTGTTAAAATAAATAAATAATAGTAAACTCAAATCAATCTGGGCTTTTCCAAGTTATGACTGATCGATGATAACACTGAAAATTTATAGACATTCAATAATAAAATTGTACTTTCATAATTACTTACCCATAATATTTTTTAACATGACGTTTAGTAAATCTCAATTGACTAATAGGTAGTTTAAATTTAGGATAACGTTGATAAATTAAATTTAGATGATAATTTAATTCTGCAACAGCTTTATGAAAATTCTCTTTAACCATAGGATCCATTGTTGTTGTTGTTGTTGTTGTTGTTGTTGTTGTTAATGTTGAAGGTAATGATGATGAAGTTGTCTTGGAAGATTGAGAAGTTACACTAGATTCATTAGAAATATCATTATTATCAATAGAAGTAATGGATTTGGTACCACTACAATCAGATTTACTTTCCTTGTCATTATTATTATTATTATTATTATTATTATTATTATTATTATTATTATTATTATTATTATTATTAATAGAATCTATAGTGATGGTAGATAGTTTTGATAAACTTTTTGATTGACTAGATGAATGAAGTTTAGCGGAACCAATCGGTGCAATAGTCACATCATAATCACCAAAAAATGAGACAAGAAGAAAGTTACCATCATGTGCAATTACTTTGGCTGGCCAACGGGGATAATTTTGAAGACGTACCCAGACAATCGGATGAATCACATCCTAAGTAATGATAATGATAATTCTTATGATAAAAATCGAATTATAGATAGGACAAATATTTAGTTTCAATCATTTGCTTACACTCAAGTTTGAAAATGTAAAAGTACATTATAGTAATAAGATTCAGTGACCCTTAAACAAATCATAAGAAAGTAACACCATAGATAGATAAGATGTATTGATGATGAATTAGGGTTAGGAGTTTTAACTACAATTCAGGTATATGAATTTTAGGGCTTCAGAATAGGGTTACCTGGTGGGTGGCCTATGCCCCTCCACGAGGAGTAACAGGCGTAAGTAGCTAATTGGATTACGCTTAGAATGTATAGTATTATTAGTCAAAGGCAATGATAATACACTGAGTAGACGAATGCTCTTTATCTGTACACAGATAATGTAGTTCTTTGATTTTAAAACATAAAGAATCTTAGGGTTCGAGTCCTGCATACAGGATCGTGGATGCGCAGTGCTGAGAAGTTCTATACTAGAACGAAACGACCATCCAGTGCTTCCAGGTTTTCATTGATTTTCTCATGATCACAATTATTATATTAAGTAACTGAAAATTATAACTAAAAATTACTGAGTTATATATTTGCTCTTTCTTAACACATATTAATATAGTGAGATAAAATTAATAAGATGAATCGAGAATAAGTCAAAGTAATGGTACTTCACGCGACCATTGATCGGAATAACTATAGATGTCATGTGAATGGTGCGAATGATCCACCAGGGTGCTTGATACCTGTGTGGTTGAGCCATAGGATTGAGCTATACTATTCAGATTGTAGCGTTAAAGCATATACGGTGTCTGGTTCTCCTGTGAAGCGGGACTGATCTTTACTTCTCGAATTATAAAATTTAAGCCTGGGCGGTGTCTGGCTCTCTATGTAAACAGGATTGAGCTGTACTGTTTGGGTTGTCATGTAAAAATCTGGATGGTGTCTGGTTCTGAAAACCAATGTAAAATGACCCTGGTTCACAAGGGTATATTATACAACTATATAATGGTACTTTGAATATAACTGTGAGCAGAACTAAATATAAATAACACAGGGTTCGAAGAAGTGAATGAATTTATAGAGTAAAATAACTGTATTTAACTTACAGTGATCATTTTTTGAGATGTGTCAACCCCCCCCCCAGAAATCTTCAGCGTTTGTGTCTCTATATTACATTTAAGTACAATTTTTAGTAAAGTTGAATAATAGCTAACAGTGAATTTTTGAATTTACAATCCCTTTTATTACGAACTGATCAATTGAAAGTATCTAATGTAATCTCAATGTTCATTTTCACACTGTGACTCAAAATTAAATACTAAATCATTATCTATTTAGCTACTGAGTTCACATAGCTACATGTATATACTTATATATATGTAAATGGCTGAGTGTTCCTGGTGATTATACATTTGATACTTATCTAAGATTAATGGCTCAATCACAACGTAAATAAAACAAACATATAAATACTTACACATAATTTACAAAACCACCAAGGATCTAATGTAGATACCGATGATGATGATGATGATGATGACGAACTTTTGGATTCGTTATTATTACTAGTAGTATTAGTAGGAGTATTATTGTTGCATTCATCGTTAACACCATTGACAACGCTGATACTATCATTTTCAATGATCGCATTTGATTCATTTGGTAATAACAATGATGATTGTACTGAAGCTACAGTTAAATAAGATTCAGGTTCATCTTCAGTTAATGGAGGTAGCTTTCTAGTTGTCGATGGTAATAAATGAATTGCTGGTATACGATTAAGATAACATGTTGGACAAGCACGCATCAAATTAAACTCACGATGAAATGTACGATCTAGAAGACGTGCAGATGATGTAATAGAAGAACTGGCTAAAATTAAAGAAGAAAAATGAACACTTTTAGCGAAAAATTGATTTATCCCGAAATGCCATTTTCAACTACAATCTAACTGGATTATTGATGTGTTATGACTTCGATAACTGACGCAACATTTTGATTTGTCCACCCCTAACTTTCTTCTAACCATCCCCAACACTAGTATGCATTGCGCATTAAGGTAATAGGTATTCAAGCATACGTAACACGAGACCGAACCATCTCAATCGATGAAGATTTGCAACCTCATCAACTGATTTGCCACCATTCTCTAATACCTTGAGTCTAACCTCATTATACCTTACATGGTGATCCCAGTAGATGCGAGTAATATTTCTAAGGCATCTGTGGTCAAATACTAGTAGCTTACGAGTATCCTCTACCCTTAATGGCCATTGAAAGAACCCTCTAAAAGTGTGCAATTATAACACCACATTGCACCAAGGCCAAGACCTTCATATCTTACTGTAAGCAAGACATAATTAGAACCGCTGATTTGAAATCCTGTGATCCATATTTTACGCTACCAGATGCGTTGCATACTCGATGATTTACTACTAGTTTAACATCATTATGACGTTAAAGATAGTCTACATAAGCATTTGACCCATTTTATATATAGTTTTGAATAATCTTGCAGATCATATTTAGTTCACCATTGTTATGAACTCATTTATTACGACCAAGATACTCTTATTGCTTAGTAGTCTTGGGCACTAATTCACTCGGCAACTTTCCATATCAGAACACGGTTGAACAGGAACGTAATTATATTCCAAGTAAAAAAAGGTTGAATTGAAGTGAGTATCACCATAAGAGAAATATTAGTATATTGATAATTTTTTACACAATAATATTCTAGAGTATTTGCCAAGTATCCGCTAGCATTGATTGGTTAAGAAACAGCCAGTCAGAGTGTTCCAATACAATCCTGTATGGAATATGCCTTAATTGAATCTAAATCCCTCTAACAACCACTGAATTTAATTGTAACCATCATTTTCATATATACATATTATCGTTCATTGGGAAAAAAAAGTTACAAAAGAAACACTCACCACCATTAAATATGATACAATTATGAAGTATCCATCGGAAATCTCCAAGAAAAGCTTGAGGTGAAGAGTATTGACCTGATTTAACACGCTGATCCACCAAGAAATACCCATATATAAAAAAGAAACATAAATATGAACTTTTATTATGTGGAAGTAAAAAAACGGCGAGACTATATTTTATGGATGAACCAATCAGACTTACGATAACAGGTCTGAGATTTTGGCGCGAAGTTCATTCACACATTTCGCGAAATAGAGTCTTGGTATTATAGCTGATGTCAGTTTGTGATAAAAACCCTAAATCTAATTCCTAACCCTAACCAACCATCAACTGTAAATCATAATCCTTATTTTTCAAAATGGTTTATATTCCTTATATAGCCCTAGTAGGTAGGCACTCTCAAGGCCACTATAGCGTCGCTCAAAGGTTGTCCATAAATTATGGTCTCACAGAAACAGTGACAGTTCAAGACACTATAATGACGGAAAAACAAGGGATAAACCAATCAGTCATAATCAATGTAGGATTTAACAGAAATAACCATTGACTCTCACGCTCCTCTCCGTCGACAGAACAAGCTAAAGCCAACGACTGCCCCAACTAGCACCTCAGCCACAAGCCCGCAACGGCGTTCACAGAACAGCACCCGTCCCGTCCTGGTTGGCAGCGACACCAAATGTAGTAAGCAAAACACGGATGGGGACAATCAAATGTATTTAACACAAAATTACAGGACTTGTTAATAAATTCTAACAATCATCAAGTAAATGCTTAATTCGCAAAATGTCCATCAATTGTCTCAAAATGACCCAGACATCATTGTTCTTGTATTTTCATACAAATTGCATTCTGTTCCCATTCTTTACTGCTCGATCCACTTATCTCTCAACTGGCAGACCTTCTGTTTACGACTAACATCATATATTACTCATATCAATATAAGTAGCAAACACCACAATGTTTATTCAGAAAAACACAAGTACAAATCTAAGTGAGATATTGATTGACTAAATCAAGTAGGTTATCAAATGCAGATACATTTACACTAAGGTTATGAATTACTTGTATAAAAGTTCAGTCAATAAAAAAAAGCAAACAAGCATATGACTAGTTAATAAAACGTTAAGTAGTAAAGATTTTGCACAAAAATACAACTACTTCTAAGTAATATAGTTAAGTAAAATTGCAAAATTTTAATTAGCGGTATTAGGATGTGAACTTTAATTTTAAATGATTGAAAAAAATGGAGACAAATGAAGAGATAAATTACTACACATGCCGCCTATAGCCTTCCTAATGTTTCTGACAAACTAGAGACCAGGTAAAATAGGGAGGGTGGATATGGGTCAAACACCTAGCTACGACAGCCAAAAAAGCTGCAACAGAAGAAAATATCAAACAACTATATAATACAACGAAAGAAATGACAGGGAATTATAGTAAATCAGAGAGACCGTTCAAGGACAAATAAGGTAAGCTAGTCACTGAGATTCAAGAACAGAAGAACAGATGGGTAGAAAACTTTGATGAACTCTTGAATGGGCAAGCTCCATTAACTCCACCAGATATCGAAGCAGTACATACAGACCTCCCTATAGCTGTCACTCCACCAACGATCGAAGAAATCAAAGTGGTCATCAAACAAAACAAAAGTGGGAAAGTAGCAGCATCTGACAGTATACCACCTGATGCTCTGAGGTCAGACAGAATTAACTGCAAACATGATTCATATTCTGATCGGGAAGATTTAGGAATAACAGCAAATGCCGACAGACTGGAAAGAAGGACACCTCGTCAAAATAACAGAGAATAGAGATCTGAGCAAATATGAGAACTGTGGAGAAATCAAACTACTATCGGTACCAGGAAATGTTTTCAACACTGTTACTAAACTGGATGAAACACTCAGTAGACGCCCAACTTTTAGATCAACACCACAGATTTCGTAAGCATTGGTCGTGAACAGACACAATCGCCAAACTAAGGATCATCGTTCAGCAATTAATTGAATGCAACTCATCACAGTACATCAACTTCCTTGATGAATATGAGTCGATAGAAGAACATTATGGAACCTTCTTTAACACTATAACATACCTTAGAAAATCGTCAACATCATCCGCAATTCGTGAGACGAACTACACTACAAAGTCATGTATGGAGGACAACTAAGAGTCACACAATGCTGCTTAATCTCCTTCTTTCTCTTTCTTCTGGTGGTGGTCGACTGGATTATTATGACCACATCTCAGGGAATACATGGAATACAATGGAGAGCTTGTATGCAACTAGACGATTTGAACTCTGCAGATGACCTGACCCTTCTATCCCATAAACACCAACAAATGCAGGCTAAAATAACCAGTGCATTAGAAGACCCTGCATCAGTGGGTCTAAACATACACAGAGGAAATAGCGAAATTCTGAAAAAAAACATGAACAACACCAACTCAATCACACGTGATGAAAAAGTTTTGAAAGAGTTGGACACTTTCACGTACCTGGTCAGTATCATCCATGAACAAAGAGGACCCATTGTAGATGTAAAGGTAAGGATTGTAAAAACAAGGACAACATTCATACACCTGAAGAACATATGGAACTCAAAACAACTGTTTGTCAACTAATATCAAAGTCACAATCTTCAATACTAACTTCAACATAGTTCTACTGTACAGAGCTGAAACTTCAAGAACTACTACAACCATCATCAAAAAGGTTCAAGCATTTACAAACACTTGTGTCTACACAAGATACTCAATGTTAACTAGTTGGATACCATCAGCAATAGCCTAATATGAGAGAGAACAAACTAACATCCAACTGAAGATGAAATTAAGAGAAGACATTAGGAACTAGATAGGATATACATTGCTGAAATCATCAAACTGCACCACGATCCAAGCGCTAACTTTGAATAGTGAAGGGAAACGGAAAAGAGGAAGGTGAAAGAACCAACTACGTTGGGAATTGAAATCAGACATCAAAAGGATGAATAGCAACTGACAGGAACTGGAAACGACTGTTCAGGACAAAGTTCGATTGAGAATGTTGTTGAGAGACCTATGTTCCTCCACGAAGGGTAACGGGCGAAAGTAAGTAAGTGATAAACATAAATAGCCCTTATTACTGAAAAAACTATTCATAAAAGTGTACATTTCAAAATAATGAAAAAGAAACGGAGCATAATATTTAAACAGTTCATAGTAATAAGAGTGCCAGCAAAGGGGACAAATAAAACAGGAGTACATTATAATAAAAGCGATTATCAAATGGGCACATGGTGATAAAGGTAATCAGTGAAAGGGGGAACAACATTTTTAATAGTTTGAAATATGTCCGATATACATTCTGTCCACTTTCCCTTACGATCAATCAAAAAACGTGTTTTCCTAAAGGCATGATGAAGAAGGGTTTTTGTGGATATTGTAATCATTTCAATGGTTGAAGTCAATTGAAGCTAGACCATCATGGGGAACTTGGAGGCACTGGACGGCCGTTTCTTCCGATTGTGGGACTCCTCAGCAGTGCGCATCCACGATCCCGCCCCGCGAGATTCGAAATGATGAAGAGTCTGGTTCTAACAAATAGTATAATTTTCCGAATTTGGTAACAAAGTGTTATTATTACTACTCTAAGTACATAAGTAATTTGCATCTACCTTAGTTTTATCTCAAATATGATTGTGTTAGGTTGTTTTATAATAAATTTACAAATCATATGACAGAACGACCTACACTTCACTGGATGATATTCCGTAAATCCCTAAATTTTCTTGTTGTTAATAGCTTTCTCTTTTATGAATATATTACCATCTACTAATAAAATGTTTGAGGACTTATTGGGCTTCATGTATTCTGAATCTCATTCCAATGAGGTGTGAAAACACATAGATAGAAATTTATGTTGTATATCACTACATCCTATGATCTTTACATTTTTGATCACCTGAATTTGTTTAACAAATACTTAATCTGTCAGGAATCCAACACATACAAACATCCTAGCTGTTTCAATGGATGTAGAAGATAACATGGATGAGATAATAACAAGTTGTTACCAAATTTGTTGGACGTAGACTCTTCATCATAGATTTAGGAAAACACGCTTCTATATAATTTAACTTTAAATGTCTAAAGGTGATGAACTCTCTATAAATTTTAATGTTCTGGAGAAGAGTTGAAAGTACACATTATTGAGGAGTTTTCTACGTTAGGATTATGAATGAAAAACGGTCCATCGAGTTGTTCCTTAATAAAGGACCTAATCACATTTATTCAACCCAAACAGTATGGTTCAATCGCGTTTACAAGGAGAGCCAGACACAGCCCAGGTTTAATTCGAGTAATACAACTCAATCCCACTTTAAGGAGAACTAGACACTAACCAAACTTGAAATTTGTTGCTTCTTTACCTCCATCATTTCATCAAGCAATGTTGATTTTCCTGTTCAGTTAACAAAATTTAATATACCCTAATTTCAATGGTTTTCCTTTTTTTTCTTACAAACTTCTTCAATAGGTGCAACCAGGTACAGTTTATTTTGGGCCACATTTCAAGTGTGAGGGCTAGAGATACAATCCCTTTACTCAAGCAGAAGTAGGTGCAGTGTAGTTTGAACTCAGGATTTAGAAGTTTAAAGTCAGACGTCCTAACTACTTGGCCACCGCTCCATAAAATGGATGTTTATGTGAATTCCGTTCGTGATGTAAGCTGTACTTAAATTTAAATAAGACATTTACGACTAAGAAGATAATTCTCATCAGATTGTATGAAATCTGAACAAAATAAGGTAAACCTTTATTTCTTGATCTACTGGAATAAAAAGTCCGGCGAAACTATAATTTGTAGACGAACCAATCAGATTAAGGATAACAGGTCTTGGATTTTAGCGCGAAATTCATTCATCCTTTTGGCTAAATAGAGTTTAAGCATTATAACTGTTGTGGATGCGGAGGAATAGACCAATAATTATCATGTTAAGTCCAGTGGTGTCCTTGGACTTTAAATGGATATTTCCTATTGGTCGATATCTGTTCCCTTGTTGAATATTGTACAAAATGTTGTTTTCTATTTTATAGTACGAT